ATCTATATAAAAACGTTATACTGCACTGAGAAAAAAATGCTGTTGATTCAATTAAAGTCTATATTACGGCCTGTCACTAACATAAATTATTACTTCAATAATCAAGACCTTTATGTCAATAAAAATATACATGAATTAATCACTTATGTTAGTGACAACCCCGTAATATAAATTTTAATTAAATCAACAGCATTTTCTCTCAGTGTAATTACTTGATGCTCCTTTCGAAGAAGTTTTTCGAAGAAAAAAAATGTACACTGTTAAGTTCATAATGTCAAATTATACTCAATTTGAGTTATCTTTAATCATTTCTATAGGTCGCCACTGCTCCTATCTAATATATCGTTAATTTGAAAACAATGGAGTTAACCAATTAAACTCAAGAAAATATATTAAGTTTAACTCGAATTTTATGAAATTTATTATTTACTAAATGCATACGTTCATATGGACGATATTCACTTTGAAACTAACGGCAGAAATGAATTTATTTATATCTTGACATACAAGAAGTTAAGGGTTGACAGAAGTAACGAGTAATGAGCCATTTACACCCCATTTGCGGTGTAGATACATCTGCGTTCTGTCGTATGCGTAGAAGAAACATTTTGTCATAAAACTTTGTTTGACTTATGTTTTACGAAGCTACGAAGCGTGCTAAAGAGCAGGATTTTGCATTTTCGCTGTTAAAAATATTATAATAAGTAAAATGATCCACGTCATACTCTTCGCGGTGTAAATACATGTCTTTATGCTGATTTTATCTCCTAGAAGCTAATATTGTGTCATGAGATACTTTCAGCTTCTTATTTTTATGAAGCCACAAAAGCGCATACAAAACCGGATTTTGCAATTTGGTTCTTAAAATCAATAATTATAATAAATATTAAATTAAATAAAATTATATGCACTTCAACTGCACTATAGCGCAGATCGAGTGAGATGTCAAAACAAATTTTTATTTTATCCCTTTTTCCAAAAGAAACACTGTATGAGCCTTCAGGCGACTTTCTTGATTACGAATGTCGTAATTATATTGTGATTTTCTCGGTATTTTAGCCATAATTTCAGCATAAAGAAATTTGTCTCCAACAGAGGTTTTATAGTCTCCCCTGTCGACTGTTAAAAATAACAAAAATGTTATTTAATTCTCAAGTACTGAAATTGGTCCGCGGGACCACGTAAAAAAAAAAACAAAATACTGTCTCATTTTCAGTACTTTCATAAGCATAAAGACTGATTTATAACGGTTTATATAATTAATAAAACATAGATTTATAAAACTCCTGTGTTTTTATTCCAATTTTTTTTAATCAATGTTTCAAGAACCAACCTCAGTAAAAGTGTCACTATTTTTATTTCAGTACTTATGGCTCCTGAGTACTCACTCCAGCCATATTGAATCGTAACGTCATAAGCGAGAAAAGTGTCATAAGTTATACGTTGATTTTTCTTGCATGCCATTTGTAAATAAAGAGAATTTAGTTGAAATAAAATGATGAGATCGCTTTAAAATACTTGTAAAAATGGACGAAAATTATTCTTATCTCCCTTGAGTCAATAAATAATCGTAAGAGACACGTAAAGTGTGCTTATTAGTTTTTACTCAATGCGCATGCGTAGCCAATTTTCACTTCACGAGCATTTTTCGACTCTTTACTGACTATCGGAGGAGATAAGGAGAGTCTTCGTCCATTTTGACAAGTGTTTTAAAGCGATCTTATCATTTAGTTTCATCTAAATTCTCTTTATTTACAAACGGCAAGAAAAATCAACGTGTCATTTCTCGCTTATAACTTTACGATTCAATATGGCTGAAGTGACTACTCAGGAGCCTTAAGGGTTATCTCAAGGGATTGGGTTGCCTCTTTCGATATCTAACAGTGCAGGGCACGAATGACCCAACACTCAAAAAAGTGATCTTGCAGTTATAACGAAAATTATCTAAGTACGGAAAATAGCTAAAATAAATAAATTTCTAAGTACTGCGACATTGGATATGTATTGCATCTAATCCCTGGTAAAAATTTTTCTCAGAATTTTTCATATATGTTAATTATAAAATATCGTAAGATTTTTAAGATTTTTTGTAAGTATAATTTTTGATAAAATGTTATAAAATCTAAAAAATTTAAAAATATTTTTTAAAAATTATAAGATGAAAAATTTTAGAATATTTCAGAATTCACTTGTACGAAAATTCTGAGAGAAGATGTTCCGAATATTTCTGAGTATTTCTGAAAAATGTTCCAATTCGTATAAAAATTATGAGAAAAATTTTCACCAGAGATCATATAGATGATAGAGATAGAATTTAGATTTGTGCTATAAATTCTATGCGTATGATACATAATTTTCTATCAGATACAAAAAACAGCTATAATTCTAGTTGGAGCAGAAAAATACGTTTTTGCGTGAATCGTATGTACTAACAATAAGAGTTAATAATAACGTCTTACACATATATATAAACACAGTGAAAAGTCTCCTTTTTTAAACAATACATCATAAAAATTCCTACAAAATTAATTCAGATTGAAACAATCATGTAAATCGTTAAACACAGAAGAGCGAAAAGGTAATTATGAGAACGAGGATACCTTATACCGTTTCTCGTTAAATTATTTCAAGGGTTAACGCGCACAATGCTCTCCAAACGGCAGCCGTATATGTACACTACGTTGCACCGGGAGACCGCACGGCGATCTTGGTTCATTATCGCGACTGCTCGCGAGGCGAACTTAGACCGCGAGTTCCATAATTGCTCCCTGCGAAGTGTTACATCCGCGTGCGCGCGAAAACAAACCGAATTGAGTAAGGCGTTCGTGACCGGCGAAAGTTTGCATTAATGATATTACGCCCCGTGTGCTCGTGTAAACAAGATTCTGTCGAGTGGTATATATAGGTGAGCATTTTCAAAAGGTGGTCTTTCATGGAACTGCACAATCAGATCAGATAAGACTCAGCGCCGCAAAAAGCAAAATTATACGCGTAATATCGCAACAGGCTCTTTCGGCTTAGTTGCAATAATAACATGCTGTAATAACAATAATAATAACAATAACCGATGGAAAAAAACATAAAACGATAAAACGGGAATATTACGTTAAAAATAATTACAACGCACGGCGCTATGTCATGATCATATTATACTGCTCGCGCACGTAAAAAAATTCATATCGGTAAAATGAGATATCGGATTTATTATATTTGCACTAGCAACAATCCAGATATTATTTAACAATCATTGTTAACGCCAAACATTATTCGAATGTATTTCAGTTATTTATTATTTTGTAGATACATAAAAACGCAAATGTAGAAAGTTGTATTTTTTTTCTCATTTAACTCCACTTTGTGTCACTGAAATTTCCTTATACATTGTATACGCAATATTTTACAGTGGGATATATGTTTTCTCTTTTTTTTTTCGGTTCACAAAATTAAATAGTGTATAAATATTAATATGTAGGTTTCCAACGGAAACCGGCTACACAATGAGTAAGATTAATTAACGTGGATTTGGAGCACAATTCAATGCTGAATTCATATGTTTGAAAAAAACTAAAAATGGAAAGACTAAATCTGTGTAAAAATAATAAAAATGTTAACGTATATATCTACTTTTCTACAATAGATTTAATTTAATAATTTAATATAAATCGAATATCTGATAAGCTCGAAATAAATTTCAACGAGAGAATTGTACGATCATTATTAATTTAATTTTCGATACTGAACATTTTTAGAACTAATGTTAAATTGAAATCCATTAATAATTTAATAAAATTCATTTTATCAAATTAAATAAAGGAAAAACCTTTATCTATTTAGTTGTATAAAATTTAGTTTATCTCGAGAAAAGCCCCATCTTCATATTTTCTTCTATATTTTCAAGCCTCATCTTCATATTATCTTCTATTATTTTCAATCGAATAATTTATTAATAATTCGGTAGCTATTTCAAAATGTTGATACAAGAATATTTTAATACATTTTTTCTGTTTATTTTAGTAGAAATTGCAGTCAGCAGTAAATTTAGAACTTTCTGGGTTTACAGTGGTAAAACCATAACTCACGTATTACATTTGGCTCGAAATTTAAAATAAATCTATCTTATATCCACGAAAAATATAGCCTTAGGTCATTCTCACCAAGACACGGAAAGAATGTGGAATTTCAAAATAGTACTTCGACGATCGAAGAATATAATTTCAATATTCTAAGTTGAATATAATTTAAATATTCAACATTCTTAAAATGCCAATTCAAATATTCAGATATTTTTTCGGAAGGAAGAAGAAACGAAGAATACGTTTTTTATGCCAATTATAAATATTCAATTTAAATATTACACATATAGAATATAATTGCATTAATATTTGAATGCAAAACACAGAATTTGCTTTTGTATAAAGTAATCACAAAAATAAAAGAAAAAAACAAACGTATTGAATGTAATTGCATTGATCGAGTGCAAAACTCATGAATTCTCTTTCGTAGATAATAGGTTCGCATTGTTTGAAATCCCCAAACACTTTTGCACTTAAACGAAGATAAATATATATTCGGGCGTTGAAGCGAGAGAAAGCACAGATGCCGAGTGCAAAAAGTACAAACAACGCGAACAGATCTAAGAATAATCACAAAAATAAAAGAAAAAAAACAAATTTGAAATTCATAGCTTATCTATTCTTTCTTCTTCTTCCTTTCCTCATTCTTTCCTCCTCTCTCTCTCGGATATTTTCCATCTACATTTTTTTCCCTGTAAATCCGTTCGTTGTGCTTAATTTTTCCCTTTATTTTTTCTTTCACTTTCGAGAACTAGATCCAGGCAGCTTTCCTAATTATAATGCAAAAAATATTGTAAGAGCGAGCAACTAAAGCGACCTCACGTTTGGACCCGAGCCTTGTACGCTCGGAGTCACGTTCACCGTGCATACATATGTAAAATGCGGCCCATAATACCGTCGCTTTGCGATAAAGGAAAAGGGACTCACCGAGCGGCGACGGCTCGTTCCGCGTGCCTGCCCGTCATCCTCGAAGAATCCTGAGCCGGTCGTGCTGCGTGGGAAGACTCACGGCAACGAGCAGATCACTCCATGCCAGGCACCCCGTGCGGTGGCGACGCGCACACCAGCCTTCGAAGCAGAAGACGTTTTCTCTCGAGCGGGCTTCGTTCGAGCGAGACGAAACGAAACGCACCCGCTGATCGCACGCGAATTCCGAGCGTCACGTCGCGTCGGCGACGACTTTCGCTCGAACCGAACGATCGGAAGTTAGCCGCGACCGCACGCCAAGTTCCGCGCGGAATTCAAATCGAAACTTCGCTCGCCCCGCGATGTCGCGTTTCCCGTCCTTCTCGCATACTTTGAGTAGACCTTGTAACAGAATCTGACCCATGGTGGAAGGGATACCATGGTGTGCACAGTTTGCAACCTTCCTTCTCTGAATCTCCGACCTCTCTATCTATGAATGTCGATAAAAGCCAATGCTTCTTTCCTTGTTTGACACACATCATAATGTAACTTATATATAGATTCCCTTTCTATAGAAAGAGAAACATAAAGTGTGTTAAACAAGAAAAATTCAGTACTAATTTCACGACGCGAAACAGGTCGGTATTCATAGTCGATTCTTGCTTTTAAGACTTACTCTTAAGTACAATCTTAAGATGTCATAAGTCAATCCGAGGACTGTATTAGCATCTTAAGACATTATTTGGCAATTCTTAGGCTTTTATCGACATTCATAGATAGAGAAGTCGGAGATTCAGAGAAGGAAGGCTGCAAACTGTGCACACCATGTTATTCTTCCACCATGATCTGACCATGAGCGGTTTTGTCAAAACGAGAATATGAAAGAAGGGATATATGTTGTCTCTTTTTATGCTATCTCATTCTAAATTACTTACTATCTTATTCATTCTAACTTACTGAAGTTGACAAAAACGACAGCTTAATCAAAAGTTTGTCATCTTGTGGTTCAGACTGGGTGTTTTCCAGCAAGGACACAGTGTAACACGTAGTGAATTATTTCATCCTTGTTTAACGTTGGCAAACAACAAAGCTGTAATGATTCACTGGCTCAGTTCAGTAGACTCAATAATTGAGCGAGCGCTCGCTGCTATTGATGTATTCTTCAAGGGCTAAAAGTCTAATTGGATAATCTAGAAAATGTACTCTTGCTAGAAAACTCCCACTGTTATAGGATCTTTGTTCCCGCACAATGGACGTGTTCAGATGGTCGAATGTGTATCTTGAAATAAGATGGAAATTGCAAAGTAAACAAAAAACTCCCTAAAATATTTAATAATTTCATTGATCCACACTTAATAAATCTGATAAAATCAACTTATTTTTATATAATAATTTACTTGGTTTCAAGATATATAATCAATCACCAGGCTCGACAGTTGTATGAGTGCTCGCTGTTATTCGTATGTTCTTCCAGATCATCCAATCGAACCTTTAAATCTACAAGAATCAGAGGTATCGACTTAGGCCGGAATCAGACTATGCATTGAAGACTGAGATTGAAAATTAAAGATTAAAATTTCACGAATGAAGACAAAGGGTCTCTCTTAAAGGTATTTCCCCCCTTAATCAACTTTCATTTTTATTAAAATATTAAATAATAAATTATTTCGTCAAAAAATAATTTATACATTCTTCGAATTTCCAAGTGTGGAATTCCACACATGGAAAAATTTCGAATATGGAATACTCCATGTCAACCACACTATAGTCGACGCCCATGACAAGAATATACAAATAGCAGCGAGCGTTCATTCAACTGTTGAGTCTGCTAAATGCGTCCATTCTCACGTGAGGAGAGTCCCAATCGTCCACATCGCCAATTAGGCAACTTAATATAAAATTTGGTGGTGTATTGGAAAGTTTCTAGGCACCGACTGAAATAAACAAATGTATCCAATTAGTATTGTGCGCATGTGGAACCCTCTCTTCACGTGTATTTTCTTTTTCTTTTTTTCTTCGAGACAAGATATCGATTTTTCGCGATAAAATATTAATCAATTCGTTTGTTTTTTCCACCATATCTCAATTTAGATGAAAGAGATATCTGTTCCAGCTCAATTCATCATGTAATACATTAGATACGCGCGAGGGAAGGCAATATGGCGCTCGATTAAGAAAGTAAAGAAATTACACTTTGATCGAGTTACTTGCTTTCGATTATATTCTTAAAAGATCGAGTCAATTAAAGATTTTACACGGAAAGACGAAGACTTTGATTTACTCAATACGTTACATGTGCGAAGGTAGGCGTTCGCAATTACGTTCCTTCCATTTGTCGCGTCCAAACGACCATAATTGCACGCACATGTTCGTTAATCTTTACTGGCTCGGAGTAATTAATAATTAATCATTCGAGTTTGTGGGCGTAATTAGCTGGAATTTAATCGACTATACGGATAAACTGATTCGTTACGTGAGACATCAAAGTAACTAATAACGAATATCAAATATTATTCATTCATAAATACTTTTGAAAAAATATGAAAATGAATATCATTAAATACGCAACCAAACAGATTTCGCCACGTAAATAAAACATTTATCGCATGAATCTGATAAAGAAAAAGAGTTATCGACGTTCTGTAACATGCTTTTCACTTTTGCTGTATTCAATAAAAGGTATTCTTTCTAATAATTGTAATAAGTAATTATAACGTCTTGTACAGCTTTACAAGAAAAATTTTGTCGACATGTACAGCCAGCGAATGAATTTTTGCAATATTTACATTGTTAGATTGAAAGATTAGATTGACAACGACAATGCATCTGAAATAATTGCTTTTCCCATCAAATATAATACCTCAAACTATATTTTTCCCATTGAAAGAAATACTAAATTTTAATAAACATTTGTTAGATAATTCTAAATAAATATTAACTAAATGTAAACATATATTTATAGTGTTTTAAAAAAGCTTTTTTTTAAATTGCAAAAAGAAAACTAAAATTATTTTCTTTTCGGAAAGAAATATAGCAGATCTTACGAACACACACATCAAATTTTTCTATTTTTGGAAAAGGAACCGAAAAAATCCGCGGAAAAATTGGAAAAAACGGTTTTCTTCCAGAATTTTAAAACTATACATTTATTTACGTATTGCATAAATTAAAATTTATTTGGTACAAAAATCATTAATTTGATTAACTATCATTTTTTTATTGAGCAAATATTTATTACTATAAGTAAATGTTTACTTAGTACTATTCAAAGAAACATGTAGTAAGATTTAGTAAATTTTCTTTTCAGTGCATTGGCCGCGTTCAGCAGAATGTTTATTTTGCAACTGTTGGAAGTTTTCTTCGCACTCATTGAATTGTACTTTTAGATCTAAAAGAACAGTTCTATTATCTCAGCGCAGAAAACTTCCAGTAGTTACAAAATAAACATTCCGCTGAATGCGGCCATTTACTTTCTACTGACGAATGTCCTCGTCATAGATAAAATCCAATTCATGGTGTTTAAAGCCATCGAAAATCTTATCAACTAAATTTTAATTATAATATAATATAAACATACATATATAATATAATTTAAATTATTATATTCTTTAACTTTCCACGACTTGAATAACCATTCGTCAAGATTCAGCATCGAGTGTCAACTTCGATATCAAAATATCGTCAATATTTTCAAGCATAGGGAACGGATAAAAATTATCAAATAATTCTCGTTCTATATATCTTGTAACGCTATTAAGAAATTGTTACAACACGTCTTCGAAATAGCAAGCGAATCACCTGTATGACGTCACGTAAACGGAAGCCGGGAACGGATGATTTTTTACCTTGTCCCAAACAACGTAGAGCGACAACCTGATGACGACGTAAAGCGAGGCGAGCGAGAAAGGAAAGGGGACGGCGTGCTCTTTCCTTGAACTCTCGGATGCGAATTCCGCACGCGACTGGCACTGATCGCGAGTAGGAGAGGATCGCCGGCAGGAAAAATGATCACGAACTCGCGCGCGCGCACGTCCAATTTGCATGCAGACGATGTGCGTACCGGCAACTTCACGCGACAGCGGAGTACATACACCGGACGGACGCAGCGGCAACTTCAGGGCGGTGCGTGTTTTTGAACGACTGGAGATGAGACACACGCGCGCGCGCACGCACGTCTACCTCTCTCGATCTGTTTTTTTTTCTTTTTGATGTCGTAATACGATGATAATAGAATGAGACGGAATAAGGACACGCGTCTCCCTACGGGAGATACACACTTTCGACTCCTGTTCCACGCGACCTGTCACCGCGAGAGCCAAGTGCGCGCCCGGGGCAGCGAGGTATGCGTCGTGCTGCGCGCGTATGCGTGCGCGCGCCTGTCGCGTGTCACACAGCCGGTCCTTACCAAGGATGCACCGGCAACGACGTTAATTCCCGGAGCGACTCCGAACGAAGAGAGAGAGAGAGAGAGAGCGATCGCGAACGTGTACGCTACTCCAAGCCCCGCTCGGGCGACCGACCGACCGAACGACCGACCGACCAACCCGACCGTACCCGTGAAAGGCGACTGCGACTTCACTCACTCCAACTACTCGTCTACTCCAAACGCCGCAACCATCGCGGGCGGCGGGCGGCGGGCGGCGGGAGTGGGAGTGGGGGGAGCTCCGTTTCGCTCGCGCTCGCCAATAGCGCGCAGGCGCGGGCACTCCTTCCCCTCCCGCCCCGCCAACTTCACAGCTATCGTGCGGCGTGCCCGGCGAGAGCAGCCAGAGCAGCTCGTAAAATTGGCGGGGGCGGGAACCGCGGCAACTTCACGCGTTACTCGCCAGACGACGCCACCGCACGGACGCGTTCGAGCTTGCAATGCTGGCAATGCTTGCATGGTCAGGGCTGTCGCCTGTCGTCACGTCGGCAACGAAATACATATACGAATATATACCGAAGCGTATCTATTTTCGATATCCGGCAATACCCGAAGCCATCAAGAGCGACCGAGTGGAATCGTAGCTTATTTATAAAATCGATGTATATACACAAGGATTGCCCACATCATCTCTATTTTTCTTTTTATTTTGAGATAGGTGTATAAATACCTACGATAAACATGCATGTAATTTTTTTTTCTTTGATATAAATTCTTTATGTATATTCTTCCAATATTCCTTTTTTATAATTAGAAGCATCAAGTTGCTTATAAAAATAAAATTATAGTTCTTTTCTTAAAGAATAAGATATGTACGTTCTAAATTAAAATCTTGTATAAATTATTGCAGTAATTTATAATTCGCAGTTTAATACAATTTATGACTAACAAACGTTTCACATTAGAAGCACTGAACTACTTATGAAAATAAAATTATAGTTTGTTCTCTCTTCAAGAATAAAATACATAGCTCCTAACTCAAACTCTTATATAGTGTCGCAGTAATTTTATTTACATGCAATTTAATAAAATTTATAACGACCAACAAAATTTTATATCGAAAATTTTTATGATAGTAAAATTAATTTACTATTTTTAAGGAATAAAATACGTACCTTCTCCTAATTCATGATTTTATACAAAGCAATAGTTCATGACACACATGCAATTTAACTTTATCTGATAAATGTTTTACATATGGTACAAATTTATGATATGCATGCAAAGTTTAATAAAATTTATCTTTATTATGTATGAAAATGAACGTTTTACATATGGTGCGAAACCGTGTAGGTACAATAAAAATTAAGCTAAATCGTAGGAATAACTAAGTGACAAACATTAAAATGAGAAAGAAAAAATGAGCGGAAATAAAAAATAGGCACGTTTTCATATGTGCAAACAAATCATCGGATACATCGAATCGTTTCTGTATCTATTTTTCAAATTATTTTACAAGAAACAAAGTCAAGTCTTCGCTTATTAATTCGCAAGATAAAAAAAATTTGTAACACAACTAAACATTCCACAATCTGGTTTTTTAAATGAAAAGTTCATTTAATTTCAGTAGCTCACAGAACTTAATATTCACAAACTCAATTTCATCCATATGTTACACGAGTTTTCTGTATGTAATTAAAACTGTTATGTACAATCGAGTCATATGGTTAAACTTTCAAACTCTGGAATCGTTGCTATTATTTTCGAAACCTTATAATAATCTTCGTGATTCTGACAGGAGGAAAGCGCAAGAAACTTGTGAACCGTGATGAACGCGCGAGACGATTTAATATCTAACTAGCAAATTGAAATTTTATTATACATTTTATATGAATTTGGCCAAATGGAATTACTTTAAGTCGAAAATTACACTGAAGTTTGCCATTTTTCCTTCTTTTTTTATCATTTCAACAATAAGGAACTGTTGATTAACTATTCATAATCTGCGTAATTTTACCGACATAAACGTATATATATGAAGATTAATAAAGCATATTCAATTTATATGCAACAATGAATTGGACTCATATGTGCTGTACGAGATTGTGAAATGAGAAAGAGTTATTTGAAAGCAAATAAACAAAACCTGCCTTTTAAGAAGTACATGACGCGATTCAAAAACGAAAATGAGACAAAAGTTCAACGATGGCGATTTGGTAAAGTAATCGCTCACAGTTGTAAATAATTAAACATGGTAATTGAACAGATTTTCATAAGTTCTCTGATGTTTTCACAATGTTCAAAAGTTGCAAACTACCAAAGACTTCCGTCATCTCGAGCCATGCTATAACGCATCGCTCGCAACACACTAAAATTTCCTACACTCGGCCTAGAATTCATTCTCTCTCCCTGTCTTGTCCGTTTGTCAATTGTCAATGAACATTTGTCTTTCTTTAACTCTTATTTTTTTATCTATATTAAATTATATCTCAATATACTGTTTTATTTATATATCTATATATATATATATCTATGTATATATCACGCCAGTCTCGCCATCGATTTAGTAATCTAGGTACACTTTGTTAACAAGCACTGGACCAACTCTTTCCTCCTCCCGTTTGTCCACGAATCTTAAAATATTCAATATCAATTATCGCTAAATTATGCTGGCTTCTGCGAACCCTTCTTGCCAATAAGTGATTTGTGGATATGTGGAATAACACCTGCAATCAAACAACAATATACATAAATTTCTTTCTCAGAGGAAGTATGTCAGTAATATGAAACAGGTGGCTGTGAAAATATAAGTTGTGAGTAAAGAATACTAGGGAGGAGGTGGACAAGTATATAAAGTTAGGAGAGAACAGGAGTTAATTAAGACATCCGGAGTAAAGAGTTGAGTAGTTTTAGAGAAAAGGTTACGTAATTAGACGCATAAATAGGAGTGCGTGGAAGGATAAGTAAGACTAAGGCAGTTCTTGTAAAACAAGTTCCCTTCTGTATTTGTTGAAGTAAATGAAATATTCTATTGTATTCATAAATTTCTTTCTCATTTTCTCACTGGTATAAAAGTCATAAAAAAAATTACTACATGTGTACAGAAACTTTGAACATTATTACATACAAAATGTTATCCCATAAAGTTGATAATTTTCGAAATTATAAATAATTAAGAATAATGAAATTACGTTAATAACTATAGTTAAACATATAATCTACGTAAAAATTATGAAAAGACACGTACCTCCTCCGGCAATAGTTGCCTTAATGAGACTATCTAATTCTTCGTCACCACGAATAGCGAGTTGCAAATGTCTAGGTGTAATACGTTTAACTTTCAGATCCTTTGATGCATTTCCCGCCAACTCCAATACCTGAGAGCAAAAAGAAATTGTAACTGTTTAATGAACCATTCTATAAAAAAATAAAATATATCGATAATAGCTATACAAACAATGAAAATAATAAGCCATAAAAATGATTGTCAGTCAAAGTGAATTACTCTCTCGCGCGTACATGGCAATTTTAATTTCAATAAACGTATATTGCCTTCAATATTAAATATTTAATTAATTTAAAATAAATTCAACTCAAAAATAAAAGCGGGAAAGAGAGCCATGTTTTTAGAGACTGTGACGCCACCACACTTATACTGCCGCGTTTGTAACGGTTTTCTGTCTGTATTTTAATTCTCTCTCTGCCTATGTTCTGTATACAATGTCCACTCCTTCTTTGTCTCCTTCCTGGATTTGCGTCAACGCAAGCATTATTGGACATTAATTATTTAATTACATTGCATAAAATATAAATAGTTGAATAATTAAATGTTGAATAATGTAACTGCACCCTAAGTCTAATTTTAACTAAATTTATATCAAATTTCATTGTTTCCAAATATAACTATATTCAAACTATAATTAACGATTAGATAAAACGTTTTAAGATATTTCTAACGTTTTGACAAACACAATGTACTAACGATAAAAACAATAATACAGTCAAATACATAAATATTTTTCCCTATTCTCACAAGTAATCCCGCCTATTTCGTCGTTATCATTTGTAATTATTTATTATTTGCTTCCTATCTTCCTTTGTCGGCTTAAATTCTTATCTGTATCGGTATCTCCTTTCGTTTAAACTTTCAATTGTCAAATTATCAGCTTGTCATACGAAATACTCGATCTTATGAGATTTCTCGGAACTGAATGGAGTCTCGATTTCGGTCTTGGTTACAATATCAGTTACAATCTCTCGCATTCTCTCTCTCTCTCTCTCTCTCTCTCTCTCACTCTCACTCTCTCATGTACACACACGTACGCATACACACACATGTATGCTCACTTACCTCGGCCGTAAGGTATTCCAAAATGGCCGCGCTGTAGACCGCCGCAGTAGCGCCTACCCGACCATGACTCGTGGTTCTGTTTTTCAAATGCCTGTGAATTCTGCCTACGGGAAACTGCAATGAGAGACGGTGGTATTAGCCCGCGCTTTTCTCACCCCGGGAAAGCGATTTGACGAGAGAGCGATGACAGTACCTGCAGCCCCTCGTCGCCTCGACACCCGGTATATGTTTCTAACGCGTTGAGCGACTTGACGTCACTGTTACGCGCAGAAATGTATGTAATACGTGTGTAGTGATATAAAAAGCTCGGTCTCTCGAAGTTGGACTTTAGGTTCAGAGCGAAAAGGGAACGACTGTTCGACTATCACGTAGTTATGGTAAACTTCGTAAACATCATTACCGGCATTCTATTTTCCAGACGCTGTCAATAATATATATATATATACATAAAGTATAACTCGACTCCGTAATAAGACCGAACTTTTGCATTATATCTAAATTGGATGTTATTAAGGCGCAAAATTTTATTTTGTTGCTTACATTTATTACGATTGGAAACGATATCCCGAAGAAATAATTAAAAAATTGACTGAATTTGTATTTTCAAGTTATATTTTTAAGTTTATATCTTTAGACATTATGTTTTTAAATTTGGACCTTTAAACTTATTTATGTCGAAATGTTTATTAAACAATATTGCCCAAATCTTACAGGAATATTCGAAAAAAATAACTCGATAGACAAGACACGAAAAAAAAAACATGTAAATATGAAACCGTTTTTTCGCAAAATATAAAACAAGTAGAATAACAGCGAAATAAATAAAGCAAATAACGTAATTAA